GTCTGCAAGGACGGGCCAGCCAATATCATGTGTACAAACTTCCGTCCTTGTGAACTGCTCTTCCTCAACAAGCTAAACAATCATCACGCTTGTTACACCTTAAGCTTCGCTCCCTTGCCGGTGTTTGGCCCTATATAATGAGAACGGGCTGATTTACCCGACACCTGAGTCTACATTGGAGCTCTGAGGTAAAAAGTCGCCTTTGAGCTCTGAGGGAGGGAGGATCGACTAGATATTGGCTCTCCAGACTCAAAAAAACCAAGATATGAGTAAGCACTGCTGGTAATCGGAGTTTGACGATGACCCAATCAGGTCGTTGCCACGACTCAACGCTAGTAAAGAGTCTGCTTGGCTGACAACAAACAGACATTCAGGTCGTGCTGGAGGTGACCCCGAATGGTGTAACCGAGATTAAGAAGACCAGTTAAATCCATCATAATAAAATCCCCAATGTTACGGCCGTAATGACCACTGTAGTCGACGGCCAGTAAAAACTAAAGAAGTTTCTACCAGGGTGTCGCATCACTGGTGTGTTGTGGACCTGAGCAGCCAACTGAGTACCAAGACATTTTCTAGTCTGGCATCACTCTCATTATGTCGGGCCTTACTCCTATGTGGTGTTGTGTTGTGTTTAATGTTGAGTTTTGGCCCCAGTTCTATATCGGGTGTTGTACTGTTAGTTATATTTACCGAGTTAACATGTTAAGTTCGTAACCATTCTTGGGTCACGGTTTGTTAGTCTATAAATCATTGTTTAAGTTAATAATAATTACTTTTATGTTTTCTTTCTTGAGTCGCCTTCTCGGTGTTATGATAACTTACTCTGGTGCTGCCATGATCTCACCTAACCTGAATCGGCAGCCAACTAAATTGGTTGGTTTACTCTTTACTTCACAAGTCTAACGCTCAACTGAAAGCATTTTCGGAATAAGTCAGCAGAACTTGTTTGGTTTAATATACTTTGTTGGGGTATTTGGTATTATTTTTAATGAAATCAATCCCTTGATTGTAAAGGCCTGGGACTTAGGGATAGAAATCCCTTACCAGGCTAATCAGGATCTTAATATAGGAAAGTCAAGGACCATGGTTTTCCGAGGAATAACAAACAACCGTTAGAGATTGGCATCTCTTTACTATAAAAATATAACACAAAACTCTGACACCACTCAACAATCATCAAATAATTACGGGAGTCAAACAATTAATGGAAGCAACAATTAAAGGAATCAAACAAATAAAGGGGAGTCAGCAATTAATTGCATTCAAACAATTAAATGGAGTCAACAATTGATAGAATCGAACAATAAAGGGGAGTCAGCAATTAATGGAATCAATCAATTAAATGGAGTCAACAATGAACAAATATTTCCTACGGCAGTGGCCCTGGGGAAGGTTCTGGAACACGGTGATGCACACTCAGGGCAGGGAAGCGTCCATTCACTCCACACTCAGCAACGTCTTGAAAAGGCAGGAGAACACCGGGGCACCGACGGAATGTGAATTGATGGTCGTGGTATGCGGTAGATGACCAGAGAGTTGGCAGTTGATAGGTGAAGGTCTGGGAACACAGCCCACGAGTCCAGGACCTATGATGAGATCACAGCCAGAATTTGACGGACAGCAGGGTAGCTAGATACTGACGGTATGGCGGCTGGGTTGAATCTGCCCGCGGCGGAGAGGGTTGCTGCCGTTATCACCTCCGTCCAACCACCCCAAGTGTCGTCTGCACCAGCAAACGAGCGAGTTAGCAGCGGTAACTAGCCGGAGGATCGTTTTCTGCCCTTACAACGATCCTGGCTTCAAAATAACTTCACAAATGACTCCAGGCCGTAACGCTTTACACGAGAAACACAAACTCTAAAACCTTGACACACAATAAACTACAAATTCTTAAAAACCTTGCAGGAAAAAAACCTATTCATAAAAGCTTGCATAAAAAAATTCCAAATGTTAAAAACCTTACCTAAAAAAGCCAGAAAAATTAAAAACCTCCAATCATAGGAAAAAATGGCATCTAAAATTGCATAAAAAAATAATATCCTCATCTTGTTGCGAAAAAACTACAAAATCATAAAAAAAAAACATGAAACAAGATAGAATTACTAAAAAAAAACAGAAATCTTAAAAAAAAACTCACAATTACATTCTTAAAACCCTTAACACAAACCCCCTAAAAATTCTTTAAAAAAAAACTATACATGAACAAAAACCTTACAGAAAAAACCTAAAATTCATAAAAGCCTCAACACCAAAGACGAAAAAAACCCAACATTCTAAAATCCTAAAAAAGGACCCCAGAGGAAAATACCCCAAACCCCAGGACCCCAGAGGAAGATACCCCAAACCCCAGGACCCCAGAGGAAAATACCCCCAAACCCCAGGACCCAGGGAAAATACCCCAAAACCCAGGAACCCAGAGGAAAAATACCCAAACCCCAGGACCCCAGAGACCCCAAGGAAAGGAAAATACTCCCAAACCCCACGCGATTCGAGAAAATACCCCAAACCCCACGACCCCAGAGGAAAATACCCCAAACCCCAGGACCCGAGGAAAATACCCCCAAACCCCAGGACCCCAGAGGAAAACACCCCAAACCCCAGGACCCCAGAGGAAAATACCCAAACCCAGACCCCAGAGTGCCCCCCAAACCCCAGGACCCTAGAAACTACCAAACCCCAGGACCCCAGAGGAAACTACCCCAACCCCAGGACCCCAGAGGAAAATGCCCAAAACCCCAGGGAACCCAGAGGAAAATACCCCCAAACCCCAGGACCCCAGAGGAAAATACCCCAAACCCCACGATTGGAGAAATACGACCCCAGAGGAAATACCCCAAACCCCAGGACCCGAGGAAAATACCCCAAAACCCCAGGACCCCAGAGAAACTACCCCCCAAACCCCAGGACCCCAGAGGAAAATACCCAAACCCCAGGACCCCAGAGGAAAATACCCCAAACCCCAGGACCCCAGAGGAAAAATACCCCCAAACCCCAGGACCCCAGAGGAAAATACCCCCAAACCCCAGGACCGAGGAAACCCCAAAACCCCAGGACCCCAGAGGAAAATACCCCAAACCCCAGGAACCCAGAGGAAAATACCCCAAACCCCACGACCCGAGGAAAATACCCCAAACCCCAGGACCCCAGAGGAAAATACCCCAAACCCCAGGACCCCAGAGGAAAATACCCCAAACCCCAGGACCCTAGAGGAAGTAAACACGGGAATAATACACCAATAATTCGAGTCTTTCACCTGTCCATGTTTTAGTACGAACAGGTAAAGAGCCATTCTGGAATAAGGTCTCTTGTACGATGACCCCATAACCGTCAAGGACCACTGTGATGCCTCCTTCTGTAGGATCTATGGGTACAGGAGGAGGAGGAGGTAGTGTGGTGGAGAGGGGGAGGACGAACGAGGGGGGGGGGGAGAATAATAAAGGGTGGAAGGGAAGGAGGACACGGTGATGGTGAAGGAAAGAGCGAGTAAAGGGGAGGAGAGATGGGAAGGAGCAGGAGTGAGGGGGAATAGTGAGGAGAAGGAGGAATTGGGGGGGGGGATAAGAAGGAGGAAAGATGGTGAAGAAGGAGGAGGAGGGATTTTAGGGTTAATAAGAGGAGGTGTTAAGTTGGGTGTGTGTGTGTGTGAATGCTAATAGTTCTCCTGGATATTGTCTAGGTTAAGCGAGATATCAGAATCACCACCAACATTACCACCACTACAACCATCACCACCACAAGAACTACCACCACTACCAGCACCACTACAACAACTACTACCCCCACCATTACAACAACTACCACCACCAACACCACCACCACCACTACAACTACAACCATCTCCGCCACTACAACAACTACAACCACCACTACCACCACTACAACAACTACCACCATCAGGGCCACCACGAGCCTCAGGAAAAAAACCGAGAGATCAATCAGATTATGGCGTCACTGTAATGTTGTTACTGGAGTCTAGAGGCGCAGTAAAGGCTCCCCGTCTCCCCGCCCATGTTACTTTAAAGATGGCTTGCTAGTTTAAGAGGTAGAGGTAGGGGGGAGGGGTGAGGGAGTAGGGTGAGGGAGGGAGTAGGGAGTGAGAGAGGTGGCGAGAGAAAGGTAAGAAGTAAGGGAGAGGGTAAGGGAGAGTTTAGAGGCAAGGGGTGAGGGAGAGGTAAGAGGTAGGGGGTGAGGGAGAGGTTAGAGGTAGGTAGCGGTTAGAGGTTGGGGTGAGGGAGAGGTAAGAGGTAGGGGGTGAGGGAGAGGTAAGATGTAGGGGTGAGGGAGAGGTTAGAGGTAGGGGGGGTGAGGGAGAGGTAGGGGGTGAGGGAGAGGTAAGAGGTAGGGGTGAGGGAGAGGTTAGAGGTAAGGGGTGAGGGACCTGATTAAGAGAGAGGGAAGGGAGACGTTTAAGGGAAAGGTGGGAGGTGTGGGGGGGGGGGTTAGGGGACTAAGGGAGAACATGTGGCACCTATTGGCACCTCAAGAAGAACATATCAAGAACAAGGAGAACAGAACAGCGAGAATATGTGGCACCTGTTGGCACCTCAAGAAGAACACATCAAGAACAAGGAGAACAGGTCAGCGAGAATATGTGGCACCTGTTGCCACCTCAAGAAGAACATATCAAGAACAAGGAGAACAGAACAGCGAGAATATGTGGCACCTGTTGGCACCTCAAGAAGAACATATCAAGAACAAGGAGAACAGGACAGCGAGAATATGTGGCACCTGTTGGCACCTCAAGAAGAACATATCAAGAACAAGGAGAACAGAACAGCGAGAATATGTGGCACCTGTTGGCACCTCAAGAAGAACATATCAAGAACAAGGAGAACAGAACAGCGAGAATATGTGGCACCTGTTGCCACCTCAAGAAGAACATATCAAGAACAAGGAGAACAGAACAGCGAGAATATGTGGCACCTGTTGCCACCTCAAGAAGAACATATCAAGAACAGGGGGAACAGAACAGCAAGAATATGTGGCACCTGTTGGCGAACCTTCAAGAGTAGAACATAAACTGAGGTACAAACGACTCCGCCTCACGCCCTCGCCTGCGCCTCCTTCCCGCCCTAATCCCTGAGCCCCACACGTCTTGCCGGGTACTGTGCAGACAAGAGCCTTCTGCTGCGTGTGCTGGTGGCTCCCTACACGTCAGGAAGGTCTTCTGTGTGACGTTAACAGTCCTAAACACGTCAGGGATCTCTTCGTCAGGTAAATATGGCCCTTAAATACGTCAGGGACCTCTTCGTCAGGTAAATATGGCCCTTAAATACGTCAGGGACCTCTTTGTATGGTTAATATGGCCCTTAAATACGTCAGGAACCTCTTTGTAAGGATAATATGGCCCTTAATTACGGCAAGGACCTCTTTGTAAGATTAATATGGCCCTTAAATACGCCAAGGACCTCTTTGTTACGTTAATGGGGGCTTTAAGGACCCTGTTAAAGTCACGTGGAGGACCCTGACGTGTTTACACAAGTTAGGGTCCCAGGGCTTATTACCAATAGACCCATTAAATTCCCGGGGCCCTAGTATGGCCACAAATCATTTGGTATATCTAGAATGTACTGTATATAGCGGGGCCACAGAGAGAAGCGATGATGTTGCATATAACTGTTGACGTCTAATTCTAAATGATGACGTCATGTATATAATGACGTCATACATGTAATCAGCTGTCGCGTATAACTGATGATGTCGAACTATACTTTATGACGTCACACATATAAACAATGATGACACATGCAAAAAAATTACATCATCGAAGCAGAAAATGACCCTCGTGTTCGTAAACTATGCCGTAACACATGTAAACAATAACAATATGGACGAAAACAATGACGCAACGCAAGTAAGCAGTGACATCATAGACGCAGATAGTGACGTCAAACAAACAAAAACTTAAAGCTCAGACAATGACGCAACGCAACCAGGACGTAAACATAGCCGCCAGGGATGCAGACAATCACATGGGAGAAGCAGACAGTAACAAACAAGCCTGCAGACAACGAAGCGTAAATCAGGGGAGGGGGAGGAAGGATGATAAAGAGGAGGGAGGAGAGAGAGAGGGAGGGTGAATATATCTTCACCTGCAGCGTGTAATTAAAAAGAAGAAATGTATGATTTATGGGCGAGCTGTGAGGAGCTTATGATGGCCCTCTGTCTCTATTATCTCTCTCTCTCTCTCTCTCTCTCTCTCTCTCTTGTTGTCTTTGAAAAGTTTATGTTGGTCTCTATTATTACTCTCTCTCTCTCTCTCTCTTATTGTCTTTGAAAAGTTTATATTATTATTATCATCATCAGTCATTAAGTGTAATCATAATTATCGCCCAACTCTCAACACAACTAAAGAATTCATCACTATTTTCTCGTACCTTATTAAGTCAGAAAAATAACACGTATCATAAAAAAAAACCTAAAGTTACAATAAAAATAAAATCACGTAAAACTTCCCGAGTCTATGATTCCGGTGTTCTGACGGAGCCCAAAGAATTATCGTAACGACATCATTGCCAATCAGAAGTTCTACCAACAACATGATAATCCAATTCCCTAACTTGCTGGTGCCTATAAGGGACGTGGTAACACTGTCTTTCTCAGCTTGGTATCTCCTTAATGATGGTCTTTGTCTCTCTGTCTGTCTGTTTGTCTGTCTGTCTCTCTGATTTCTGTCTTTGAGATAATGAAATATGTGAAATGACAATACTTAATACGTCTAATACACATAACACCTGGTTTACCTGACACACCTGATCAATACACACGACACACCTGATCAATACACACGACACACCTGATCAATACACACGACACACCTGCCCAACGAGATATAAGTAAATACATTCATAATTATATTCTATACCATAAATTTTACGTTAATTTTTATCACCTGTTTCACTATACCCATTCACTCTCTACCATGGCATGTACTGTATACTCGTAACTATATAAGGGTATAAGTATACAAGTGTATAAGTGTATAACTATATAACTATATAAGTATGTGTATAATTATATAACACTATACAGTATATTAGTCACACTTGGGCCATAATAAATTTCCTCTTCACCCCAAGATCTTCTCCTCCTTCACTCCTCCTCCGACCTCCTTCCGTCTTTCCGTCCGTCCGTCACCAATTAATCTAATCACTCCTTCCTGGTGACGAATATCCGGGTCGAGTCCACTGGCAGTACACCAGCAGACTCATTAAGGTCGGAACGTTCAGACCAAGGACATCCGACGCTCGCCCCTATCGCAGTGTGTGGCTTAGCACTACGTACCCCCCTTGACTAATGATCTCTGAAATTGATTGCTTAAAAAGAAAGGAGATTGATTAAGGACGTTGTTGAGGAAGTTTGTCAAGAGAGTCCTTCAGTCTTGTCCTGATGGAGGAAAATGGTATCCTGCACAATATCCTACGGCAGAGGATGACACGTGACGCAACTACGCCATCCTATTTTTCCCCTTTTAATAGAGGAAACATGACGTCACCAATGTGTATGTGGGGTTGATACATGACGTCACCAATGTGTACAACGTCACTAAATTCTATGACGTTACAGGTCAGCTTACTAAACACCATACTCTTACTTTTGACCCAAACATGACCTCCTCCCTCCACAACTTGACCACCACATTCCCCCTCCAACCTCCACCTCCCATAAGCATTCCTCCCAGCATAACCAACTTCTTCACCCTCTTCTAACCTCCCCTCCCACCTCCTCTAACCTTCCACCAACCTCCCCTCCCTCCCATAAACTTTCCTACCAACATAACCTCCTTCTCCTCCCTCCTCTAACCTCCCCTCCCCCCACCTCCTCAAACCTTCTTCCCAACCTCCCTCCCCCCTCCTCTAACCTCCCCTCCCCCCACCTCCTCTAACCTTCTTCCCAACCTCCTCTAACCTCCTCTCCTTCCCCCTCCCCCACCTCCGGACCTCTAATAGCTGACCCCCAGACTCCAGCACCGTATATCAACTCATGTCTCAAGTGCTGTGACACCCTGTAATCTCTCTGGCCCCCCCACCAGTGCTGACTTACTAACAGATGTTCCTCGTAAATTTCAGAGAAGTGTCCTGCTTGCTTGATTCACACACCTTACCTGCTAGAAATTTTTACCTGGGTCTTTTATGAACTAGGAGGACTCGTATTCTTAAACTAGTATTATTGACTTTCACTAGTATTATTGACTTTCACTAGTATTATTGATTTTCACTAGTATTATTCACTACAACTTGTATCGTTAATTATGACACCTACTATTAA